AGCGACGGTCGATTCTAGCGTTCATGAACTGATATCGATGATGTCATAACCGTCTGGAAAAATCTATCAGCACTCTTGTGTCACACAATATATCGGGTCTGTGATAAAACTTTGTAGCCTATGTTCCGATAATATATTTTAAATTGACAATTTATTTTACGTTTATCAGCGCCTTCCTTTATTCAAAATAATCGGCAGCCTACGACATTACTCACTGGCAAGGGCGGCGACACCGTGGGGGCAGTGGGGGCAGACTGCCCCCACTGGCAGGAGGCCGTGGGGGCAAGACTATGTTTTTGCCCCCACAAAATTTGGCTGATGTTGAAAAGGGAAGAGAAGAGCAGTGCAACATTCATGATAAGCGGTTATAGTACGCCTGTTTTTGACGGTCCCCGTATCAAGTGCATCAGCAAAACGTTCGTTCTCGGACCGTCTGTCGCATATCTCCTATTCCCACTCATTCTCCTACTCATGTTCATTCACCGTGATTGACTCCCGACAAATCATCGCCGTCACTTGCTGGCTGTGCGTCCAGTTAGCGATGAACATTGGCTACAGACTGGTAGGCCTCAATCACCCTTAATCGTCGAGAATGGTCACGTGCTGACTAAATACTAAGACGTACCCGTATCGGAGACCTCTATGTTGCGGCGTTAGCCGTCTCTGTAGGAAGCGGGCTCTCTAGCAAAAGCTATTTTGTCTACAGAAATTAGTTACTGTGGAGCATATTGCTACCAGCCATGGCAACCACGTAAGCTCAGTTACGAACCAATTTCAGCGTGTCTTTAAGCAAGAGAGCCTATAAACGTAAAATTTAGGTGAAAACGAACTTATGGGACACCCTGTTGATATCCACACCAATCTCACGTGCTTTTAAGCATTTTTGGGATGTTTCGGTTGGTTTCAGGTTCAGTCCGAGCTCAGTCTGGGTTTCGGTGGTTTTGCCCGGTGTGTGCCCTCAGTTCCGTTCATCCAATTCTGGCCCAAGGCAACGCAAGAGCGCTGCCGGCATCTAGTAATTAAGACATGTTTTCCCATCCTGAGGCTCTTAAATGAATGCTTCGAGCAAAATGGATGCCAGAATCGTGATCAGCGGCTACGAAATCATCACAAAGGACTTTTCATGTGTCAAAGTCAACCAAAGGTCATTCGAGGCAGGGGCCCGGGAACGATTTTGAAGTTGGGGGGCGAGCCTAAAATACCTGACATGATGCATATGAAACAGTAGGGGTCTAGGGGGACACGTACCCCCCCCCCCCCCCCATCGGGTTCAAAGGGACCCTCGGGTCCGAGGGGCCCTGCGGCGCCATTTGACCGCTGAAGGTTAACGATGGCCATATTACTACTCAGAAGGGCCCATGGAGCTCGTTAGATCACCTCATGGGCCCTAAATAACCACACTAAGATCTCCATAAGGGTCCCACGCCAGCTTCTAAGGGCCTCTTGCGGCTTTAAAGGGCACCTCGGTGGTCTCCAAAGGCCCGTTACTGGCCTCTGAGAGGTCTTACTGGCTTATGAGAGGCCAGTTCTAGTGGCATTTCCCGCCTGTGATGGTCCCACACTTATTTTTCTGAGGGCCCCATAACGGCAACTGTGGGGCCCTCGTCGGCACCTATGAGGGCCCACACCGGTGTCTGAGGGTTTCACACCCCCAACTCTGAGTGCATACATGACCATTGCCTATTAAAGCCCTATATCGGCGGCTCTGAGGACCCAACCAACACCTGCGCATCTAAAGGCCACCCACTGGTGACTTTTGAGGGCCCCACACCGGTGACTCTGAGGGCCCCACCGGCGTCTGACAGTACCATGCTGGTCTCTAAGGACCCCACAGGACTTCTTCTGCCGGCCTAAGGACCCCTTGCTGGTCACTGATACCCCCTGCCGGCTTGTAGAGAGTTCGCGTCAGCAGCTCTAAAGGCCCCACACCCGTCTGTAACGGCTCCACACCAGCGTCTATGAGGGCCCACATCAACGCCTGTAAGGACCCTCATCGGCGCCTCTGAGAGAATCTATATACTGCACCTCTGAGCGCCCACACCGGCACCTGCATGACAGCCCCACACCGGTGCCTCTAAAGGCCCCTTACCGGCGGCTCTGAGGGCCCAAGGCCGGTGATTCTGAGGGTGCTACCGAAAATCGAAGGCACCACACAAGCCCTTAGTCTCGCTGAGTTTTAATCCCATACCGGTTCTCCGAGGGCGCCACGTCAGTGCACTCATTGCCCCACGCCCCTCCCTCACACCCGGAACTAGGTTATAACTATAGCAACGATTTTACCACCGTTGTACGTTAGGTATGTATTTAATCTCAAAGTTGACTCAAAATGGTCCAGTATAAAATCTGGCCTGCCAAACTTATGGCCAAGGTCATGCCCAAATCAAAGCGGGATGACAACAGCAGATGTTGTTAAATCGATACTGTATCAGCAGAAACCATTCAGATGGCAAGGAACATGCCGTGTGTTGATGTTAAGATGTATAAAGGAAACGAGAAGGAAAGAAGTCCGGATAAGGGAGGAAACATCTTTTCTCGCTGCCCCAATGTTGAGGGGGCGCCGCCCCCTCGGCTCCCAAGTTGGGGGGGGGGGGCAAGCGCCCCCGCTGCCCCCCCTGTTCCCGGATCTATAAATTTCGAGGTCACATGAGAACCATAATAATTTTGAATGGCAACATCTGAGGGGCAAGGTGCTCATGGATTCTGCAGATTGGCGTATCAGACAACAGTCGGGTCACCTCAAGCTTGCCCCCACTGGCAAAAATTCGTGGCGCCGCCACTGCTCACTGGACATTACGTTTCGACGGAGACCTCGGCCCATCTCTGCCTCTTTTCCTCCGCACCGTCTCTTTCCTCCCATACTCTGTCCGCTTAGAGGAGGGCTGGCGAGGCTGCCGGCTGGTGGACCCCAATTCCTCTCCGGTGGGTGGTAACTGCTGACGCGAAAAGCGTTTCGTTCCGCCCCGGTCAAATTGACCAGCTTTGGACGCTAACGCATTGGGTTTCGCCGCATTAGAGGAAAAGGTCAGCCGTTTTGAGCGGGTCGGCTGCGAACGGCGGAAGGAGAATGGGCTGAGATTGAAACTGATTTTGCTGATACCTCTATAGTGCGTTCTGCTCGGTCGAGTTTGATGTTTGGACAAAAGGCCTGCGATGCTCTGCGGTTCATATGAGTCGGTGAATCGTGACATTGACGTGACATTGACCATCCCATTCCGCTCAACCAACGCGTTCTGGTTTGTGCGGGCTAAACTGAACCAATGTGTATATGAAATGACGCGTTTCAAATTTAGCCTGTGGATAGTAATGCGGTGAGTCATTCGACATGCCTTTTGAGTTTTGTGGATCTACCTATCTATATCTGCTGCGTATCTCAACACAAACAGCCCTCACAGCACATCATCGCCTGATATTGATATACGGTTGGGCATACTATGGACTTATTGGGCTGAATTACTTCGGGTGAAGTGTGGTTTAGAATCTTGGCTGCTTGAAGTCACGAGCCTAGCCGAAATGCTGCTGTAGGTTGTAAACCTCTTGGATTTGAGTTATTATGTTGAAGCAGAGCAAAAGTAGTCCATACTTTCTTTACACGTCGACCCGACAGAAGGCTTTGAAAACTGGCAATCTCTCTACGACCCTCGGGCTATGAATGTTTCCCAACGTGTGCAATATTCACCGTCTAAATATTTAACGGTATGGCTAGGCCCAGAACTGATTCGTTTTCCACATGCCTTTCTCTCCAATCCTTTCCCCTCTCTCTCTCTCTCTCTCTCTCTCTCTCTCTCTCTCTCTCTCTCTCTCTCTCTCTCTCTCTCTCTCTCTCTCTCCTCCTCTTCCCCACATCCTCTCCCCACTGTACTCTACTCTCCTCCGACCATTCACCCGAACATTCCCGTCAGTTGAGCGGTTCGTGCCTCGTGCTCCTCCCATCCCGAGTCGTGATGTGCCGCACACCTACTGAGACTGAGCTGCCACCCATGACCCATCCTGCCTGAGCTGTAGGGACTCGGACGGCGCTCTAACACAGTTCGTGCTCCGGGTGACCCCGCCCGCCTCATGGGCCGGTCGTCACTGTCTAATTCCCTTCACGACGTGGCTGAGCCGCTGAGGAGTGATAGGGGCGTGCGGGGTAGATGCTGGTGGTTTTATGCCGCTCGGGTGTATCCAGTTGGTTTCGCTTCAATCACAGTCCTTTTCGTGAATTCAAACCTGACTTTTTCGAGTTTGATTGTTTGTTTATTATTGTTTGTTTATTGCGGCTTACGGGCGCGGCGACTACAAGGTCATTTTGCGCCCAGACTTTTCTTCGAGGATGGCGGAAATAGTATTCGGCGGCAGGCAAGAGGCGAAAGTTTAATACGTTAAAAGGTTCGATCATTTCATTCTAAAAAGTGGCCTGCCCGCGGATTAGCGACTACAAAGCTGTTGGCAGACTGCCTTTCTCCCCCACTCCCCAATGCTTTTCCATTTCCCTACTGTGCGGTTTTGGGAGCATTTGACGGTCCTGTTGTCTGAAGATTAGAACGGTAGTTAGTTCCGTCATGACGGCTGGCGGCGTACGACAAAACCATTAAACGACTAAGGTGATTTGGTCTAGCTCTACGGCGTGCGTTGATTGGAATCTTGATGACCGTTTTCAGACTTTTCAAAATGATCCTCATCATAATAAGCTCCGATTTCTCAGGTTCACGGGTGAATTATCTTCTTTAATGGCTAAGAAATTAATAGAACTAAGCTGGTAAAGTTTAATAGCTTTGTGAGATAGATAGTTTAGCCGTATATCTTATATGTCAACGTAGTTTAACGGCATCATATCCTTCTTAACGCATGATATCGACTTCATTAACTTCAGCAAAGCTTGCAACAAGAGTTACCTCCAACTTCCCAACACCTACCGTACCGAATTTAACCGTGTGAACGTCAAGTCGTGCGTGCAATAACCATGTGTTCTCTCACCGCCGTGTCACGATGCAGACAATTTCCTTAACGCAGCTTCACAGACCTATACGGGAACGATTCTTGTGGCCGTCAACCCGTACCGGGAGCTGAGTATCTACGGACAGGTAAGCTACCATCCGCGTGGAGCCCGGTTCCGGGCATGACTATGCTGTGACGTGGCGGAGGGAGGGGAGGGGGCGACCAAGGACGTCTGTCGAGGTCATGGTTCCTTGGTGTTCCCGCAAAACGACCGCAGGTTGATCAGATGTGTGAGTTTGTACCTGAACCCAGCCGAGACCGGTACAAATATGCCACAATGGGCCTGCAAAGGTGTGGACTAAATGCTTTGAAGCACGCGGATAATGCAGTTGGGTGTATAACGCGCCTTTTAGTGAGTCATGTAGCCGAACCTTTCAGTCATGTGAACCGGCTTATCCTGTGTTGGTGAGAATTAAAGCTGAGCGCGCTTGCCTAAGAAATATTATCATGCCTTTTTAATAAATCGCGATAATTTTTCTGGTGTACTGGCAAAGGCAGAGCTGTCGTATTCTTAACGACTTCTTCGAGGGACTTCCTAAAACGTGTACATCTGTCTTGTTCTGACTTGCTGCTCTGTGCCCCGACAGGACACCCTGTTCTCGTACCGGGGGCAGAAGATGGGCTCCAAGGAGCCGCACATTTTCGCTCTGGCCGAGGCGGCGTACACGGCGCTGACACGGGGAGAGGGGAACCAGGTGAGTCCCCTGGGAAATGTGTCAGTGTGTCACTTCTGGGGAGAAGAGGGGGAATACCAGAAGCTGTGGCAGTTCGTATGATGAGACGGGAAGCTGGTCCTGTCCATAGGAAATGAAGGGGACTTGAGCTGCATCGGTTCAGACTTCAAGACTGGCCAGCTTCTTTCGAAGGCAAGGGTATCCAATTCAAGTCCCTTTTACGTCAAGCTGTGTTGATGTAACCACACCAGCCTCTCTTGCAATGTATGCCACTGTTGCGATCGCATCGCTGTGACCACTGCCCGCCCCCCCCCCCCCCCCTCGATCTCCAGTCGTGTGTGATATCGGGTGAGAGTGGCGCGGGGAAAACGGAGACGACCAAGTTCATCCTGCAGTACCTGTGCTCGGTCACCTCCGGAGTCAGCACCTGGGTCGAGCAGCAGATCCTCGAGGCCAACACCATCCTCGAGGCGTTTGGTAAGTACTGATCAGGGTATCTTGAGAGACAGTATCGACCTCCCTCGGTCGGGACATGTCTGTAGTTCAGGTACGATTTGGACTTGAAAGTGTGTTGAAAGTTGGTACAGTGTGCGGGCAAAATTGTGTCACAAAAGCTGTTAAACTCTTGTTTTGTGTGCTGTGCGAGGCATCAAGGAACTAAAAAATGTCTTCTACTGTTGTCCAACCTTACAAGGGAGATTCTTGTAAGATAGTACGCGGTGTTTTATTCGGCCTTCTTCGCAATTCTGGAAACGGTCAGCGAAGCGATGACCGACTTTGACGGGCCAACTTTTCACCTTTCGTCTGTCCGGGCTCCGACGAGAGACGTACACATTGCAGAACTACTTTACATACAGTGTTCTCCGGCAGTCTGGGTCATCGAACTGGGAATCGAGTCAGCCAACTCAAACTTGTCCCTGCGCTCACCCCCGGCGTATTGGAGCCTGCGTCTTGTGCGGTAAAGAGAGACGTGCAGGAATTGTCAATCAACCCCTTACGTCGGGCACTCCACGTCGTGCTGGGTCACATGTGCACACAACGTGCAGAGCCGCTATGGGCGCCGTGCACCGGGTTTGTGCACGTGGTGCACTATGCACTGTGCAATGAGTGTCACTCGGTGGTGGCGGTCGCTATGGGGGAGGATCAATGAACGCGACATGAAACCGTTCTGTGAAATGTAGATGATTGCTGACAGCTAGTTGAGTTGGGGTGTCAACTGCTGTGTGGTCTGCTGACTTAGTGGGATTGTCAGTATGTTGGTCTCTTACGTTACATAATACACCAAGCTCGCTGCGTAAGGACCTTGTAACCGCATCAATGAATGATTCAGGGAAGTCTAACTTTCTGAGTTACCGATAGGGACTCTCCGACCCCACCTGTGAATATCTTGGGCAGCATCTGCCCCGCAAAGTTGCACGTCTATCCCATTAGATCGTCTTCGCCCAATGCAGCTTCACCGTTCGCCAGTCACAGGGGCGAACTGGGCAAGCTCGTGGGACCTGCGTAAATGTCATCGCTCTCAATTTTACCTCTGTTTGGTCCCTGAGTGGCGTATAATGGCTGTAACACTCTCCGCATGTTGACATGACAGGTGACATGGCCTACATGTGCCATCCAAACAGTGAGATGACGCACCAAATTACCCGACAAATCGCGCACAGACGTCGATAGCTACTGGATAGATGACAGTTTCATAGCCTGGCAATTTTCCGACAGCCAGTTCCGTGTCAAAGGTCAGAGGCCGCCGGAATCGATTGACCCCGCCCGCGACCTTCTGACCTGTTGAGCCTCCCTGGCGTCCTCACGTCGACAAATTGTCGTCGGCTCTGCCCGGGCAGGTCTGCCAGCAGAGACGGTGTTCCGTATTGGCGGAGGCTGATTGGGACATTCGGCAGTCTGCAGAACAATAAAGCATTCACACGGCCGTCCAACTTGGAAGGCAATGACGACCGGTACGTCCCAGAGGGACGGAGAATCGTCAGAAGTTGGCGAGGCTCGAGACTGTGTTGTGACAGCGAACAAGTCACTGTGTCAGCGCTTTATTCTTTTATATCCCAAAGCAGGCTGTTTGCGAACACTCACAATCTTAGCGTTTTGAATTAAAGCAATTTTTGTTGAGTAGCTTCACGCGCCTTTGGCTTTTGTACAAATATTGAATTGGACGTCTGGGACACCTCCAAGAACAAAGGAAATCTGTCAATTGCAGACGTTATCACTCAAGCGTGGAATCAATCTGACGATGTCTCTGACATGATTGCACTGAAGCTAGATTAATTTGAGGTGGTCGTTGTTTGGAACATTCATTTCTAAATGCTTAAATATTCCCCTCTGCTACTAGCCTTCCCGGAGAGTGATAAAGGAACATGTCAGGGGGAAGGACATGCTTGCCCTCCCCCGCGCGACCCAGGGCGCTACTCTGGCAGGCAATACATGACGACCTACCGACCCACCACACCAGGCGACATTGCGGGCGGCTCGGCTACGTTTTAGCTGATTACTCTGCCGGTTGAGCGGTTCCGCGGACCGACGCTCGTCGCTAGACAGAGTTTGGGAGCGGTTTGTGTCGCTCAATCGGTATCGACAGCTGGCGTCGGCTGCTTCTGCTGGAACTCGGGCGGGTGCTCTGAGAACTAACTCAGCAGTGGAGCGACTCCCGCATTCGGACAGGCATCAGCCTCTGTACTTACTCATACGCCGACCAGTCTAACCTTGATACACGGGTCCTCTCAAGAGTGTGCCATTCTTGCTAGGGCATCTCCGTGCCCTATCTTCACCACCAGATCTCCCGGCTCCCAACTCTCAGCTCTCATCTCCCAGCTCTTTTACTAGCTGCTCTCTGAAGGAGGACACCAAAAGACGGCCATAAATTGTCAGCCCGAGCTACACTGATCAAATCACCACGCCACGGCGCTCGTGTGTTTTCCTGGCCGAATTTACTGAGGAAGAAGCTGAACTTCGCCTTCAGACTGTTGCCGTGTGATGCCAAATGATGCACGCATCCACGCCAGTAGCATAAAAATCGTTGACAATAGGCCGAATCAGAAGATGTTCGTCCGATTGAGTCGGCCTGTAGCAGCAATATATGACAAATTATCCATTCAAAATCACACAAAAATCGCTCATAAGCGCATCTGTACCTAAATATGATGTGATAGTAGTTAGCACCCATCCATCCTATCTCAGAACGTTCTTTTTTAACGACACTCAGTAGATCCGTCACGGTATCTGAGGCATTGGAATGAGAAACGTATCTGGCGATTCGAGGTCCCACAGCAAGAAATCATTCAGGCTAAACCGAGCTCCTGATGCTAAACCGAGCTTCCGAGGCTAAACCCCAGAGTTTTCTTGGTCAGTGTCTGAAACCTATCGATTAATCACAGTAAATCACCCGCATTGATCCCCATTCGGGTCGGCCTGGGACCTTCTGTGAGTGATCAGGCTATCGCCCAAGCGCGTGTCATTTGTGCCCGGTCATTCCGCCTGAACCCATCCGACGTCTTTGAAATCTGGCTGACGGACCTGAGGTCGGACGAAGGGGGATACGTATCGATTCTCCTACTACAGGCTCACTCGTGATGACGTCATAGTGACGTCACGCCGGGCTGTAACGGGCACTGTGTCGGCGGCTGGTGCGGTCCTAGTCCCACGGGATGTCTCTGACGCCGGCTCGACTCGCTGATGAGATATCGCGGTGAGGCTGTTAGCGTAGCAGAGATGGCCGCCACCCGCTCTGCGCTTGTGAAGCTGGTCTCGATGGAACGTCTGCCGAGCACGGCAGGACGATTGGGGACCGATCTGGCCACCTTTGTACAAATTGCAACCAATATCCGTCGTGGGATAATTTATGGAATTTTTCTTCTTTGCACTACGGCTATGATAAAAAGTTACATAGGCGATTTGTCCCGGGCATGCTATTACGCACTCATTGGGACAGGGGTTATGTGCTAGAATTGATAAAAACTTGAGGCTTGAGCGGCGAACAATCGAGAATAGTGGCGTAAGGGTTGTGGGAACATGCTGGAAGCATGCTGTGGCGATGGCTGTGTTGGGAATCGGGAATGTTTTGATCGTGTTCGGCTGGGCTGAGCTTACGATATCGGTGATCTATAGTCTTGTTTGGATCGTGTTCCAGCTTCAGTGCTTGTTTTGCGATGGTGACTTCGTTACCATTTAGGACAAGGTTGTTGCTGCATTGAGATGGTGTCTTTTCTAAAATGACGGCGACTTTGACCTTCTTTTGCCCATCCCATCTGCTGGGTGCGCGTGGTATCACTCGCGTGGTCCGGAGTCCTTTGGGCTCACCCCGGAGTGCCGTTCCCCGTCGTGTGCTCCGACTCTGGGCGGGGCGGGCGTGGTGTGAGGAACGAGCCGTCAGTCGCTCTGACGACCCAGTTGGTCACCCGGTCGGTAGAGACGCCGTCAGGGTTCCACCCAGGGTGTGGTCCGCCCCGTACCGTGTCAGGGGATGCTAGAGATGTGTTGGCGAGGTAATGGCATTGTGTGGGCGGGCGCAATGTACACAACTCCCAGAGTGCAGGCTGTTTTTGTGAGTGTTTTGTCTTTCAAACAGTTTCTTTAGAAACGAGATGTGTGTTGTTCCGGAAGTGTGAGCGACCAACAGTTTTTTCTTCTTCTTTTTATTCATTCAGACGTGCTAGCATCAACTCTTTTTGCAAGTAATGCCTAGATTTACCACACTGACCTTGGCCGTTTCCGCAAGTAACGCCAAGGTCGCGACTTATTACTTTATCTCTTTCTGCAAATAATGCCAAGGTTTGACACTAATTTGTCTCTGTCTGCAGGTAACGCCAAGACGGTGCGGAACGACAACTCGTCTCGGTTCGGCCGGTTCATGCAGGTGTGCTTCGACCCGCGGTGGCACATCAAGGGCTGTATCATGCAGGACTACCTGCTGGAACAGTCGCGCATCACGTTCCAGGGGCCCGACGAGCGGAATTACCACGTGTTCTATCAGCTGGTCGCCGCCGCACAGGTCAGGACTATGACTAGGTATGGCTATCCAGCGCTATTGTCATTGGACAAGGCACTTGAGTAGGTGTAACGTTTCAGTTTCAGCTGTAAAGTTAGCGTTTAACCGCACAGGTGAAGCCCCATCAGTGGTAAAGATGAGTGTCTCAATAACGTACTGCGCAAAAGATGCATTATTCACGTATTGTAACATGATTAATTGGCTTGGCCATCGCGTTTATCTTCCCTTTATACCTGTGTTTTGATAGTTTCAACAGAGCCATTGCTGCCAGCGTTTTGTTTGCACCACCAAAAGCACTGTCGCTGCTACAGCCCCGCCCAGTGTCCCCTCTGTCCCCTCTATCACAAATCGTCTCGGCAGCATATTGATACGGCCGGAGCGTTTTGTCCGGTCCGCACCGCTCGTTGGTATTCATTATCGGTTGGTCTGTCGGCGTTCGACACAGGCCGCCCGTCGGCTCCCCAGCAATCATCGCCGGCCGTAAATAACGCTGTTCAGATACGCTCCAAAGGCGGCCAATTGGCTTTTGTTCGAACCTTTTCCTGGCTGGCTTCCGCTGCTTCCCTCCCAGTCTTGCCTTCAGCTGCCCCGAGCGGGACATATCTCCAAGGACAGCGTATTGCTACTATAGTCAAAACACACTGCCAACTGTCTTTAATATGTTTTTCTATCTTTCTGAATATCCATCTTAGTGCCCGTCTGTGCGTTCTTTCTCTCTCTCTCTCTCTCTCTCTCTCTCTCTCTCTCTCTCTCTCTCTCTCTCTCTCTCTCTCTCTCTCTCTCTCTCTCTCTCTCTCTCTCTCTCTCTCTCTCTCTCTCTCTCTCTCTCTCTCTCTCTCTCTCTCTCTCTCTCTCTCTCTCTCTCTCTCTCTCTCCTCTCTCTCTCTCTCTCTCTCTCTCTCCTCTCTCTCTCTCTCTCTCTCTCTCTCTCTCTCTCTCTCTCTCTCTCCTCTCTCTCTCTCTCTCTCTCTCTCTCTCTCTCTCTCTCTCTCTCCTCTCTCTCTCTCTCTCTCTCTCTCTCTCTCTCTCTCTCTCTATCTCTCTCTCTCTCTCTCTCTCTCTCTCTCTTCTCTCTCTCTCTCTCTCTCTCTCTCTCTCTCTCTCTCTCTCTTCTCTCTCTCTCTCTCTCTCTCTCTCTCTCTATCTCTCTATCTCTCTCTCTCTCTCTCTATCTCTCTCTCCTCTCTCTCTCTCTCTCGCTCTCGCTCTCGCTCTCGCTCTCGCTCTCGCTCTCGCTCTCGCGCTCTCTCTCTCTCTTCTCTCTCTCTCTCTCTCTCTCTCTCTCTCTCTCTCTCTCTCTCTTCTCTCTCTCTCTCTCTCTCGCTCTCTCTCTCTCTCCCCTCTCCTCCCATATCCTCTAAGATTCTGCAGCGCGCTCTCCCTCTTCCCTCCCTCCTCCCTCCCTCTCCCTCCCGTGTCTTCCCTTGATACCCCCTCATGACTGCTCCCTCTCCTCAACCCCAGCGCGACTCGGAGCTGGCAGCCCAGTTCCAGCTGCGGGAGGCGGCCCACTACAGTTACCTGAACCAGTCGGGCTGCGTCCGACTGGACGGTGTGAACGACGCCGAGCGGTTCGACGCGCTGCGGCTGGCGTTCAGCGTGCTGCAGATCCCGCAGGAAGTGTGCGATGGCCTCTACTCGACCATCTCGGCCATCCTGTGGCTGGGGAACATCGGGTTCCAGGTGAGACGGGGGAGTGGCTGGGGAACGTCGGGTTCCAGCCTCCAGGTGAGATGCGGTACAGAAGGCGAGTGGCTGGAAGTACGGAACGGGTGACGGGCTAGGACTGAGGGCGGTGAGAGATTACCTTGGGCGACAGGCTGAAAGTTAGGACAGTGTAAGAGCGTAGAATAACATGAGGGATGGCAGGAAAAGAAATGGATGAAGCGGCAGTGAGAAAAGTTCATATGTTTCGATAGCTAGTGTTCCTGGTGAATGCTAACGCTAACTCTGTATATTTTACAACCTTGTTTTGTATGAAATTTCTGCTCCCACACCGCGGTAATCCTGTCTTATTTGAATTATTTCCAACATTTCTGGCTCGTGCCTTTGCTGTGTCGTTTTACGAACACACAACACGATACCATATCATCACCCATGTGACTGACGGGCCGATTGTTCCTACGATCACACAGTGACCCCGCGTCACACGCACACCCCGCCCCTGCAGTGTGATCGAACCAACAGGTGGGCGGCGGGCGGGGACGGGGCTCGCTGGCAGCCTTTGTCGACCTTTATAGCCTCGGGGATCGAGTGTGGCCCGCAGAATGACTACATTAATCTTCCGTGTGTGTAGTTAGTCAACCTATTCACCGTAAAGCTGTGTTCAGAATGGCGAGTGTGTTTGAAACGGGTTGGGATGGGTTTATTCGGCACGTCTTCTGTGAGGAGGCTGGGCCTTTTTAAATCCTCGGCAAGGGACTGCATATTTAAATCTTTTTCTTCTGATACATTCGTCTCACTGTTAATTAAATTTTATTCACTCGCTTATGAACCTCTATTTAAATTTTCGTGCCTGTTTTGCTATCATTTCTGCTGTATGCTCGAAACTTATCTTAATTATGTTCATGGTATGAACCCACATCATCACACTCACGAGTCGTTCGTCGTGGCTGACCTCCCCTTCTGACGTCCCTCCTCCACCTCCCCAGGACGTAGACGGCGAGAAGACGGAGCTGACGGAGGGAGACGTCACCATCCTGGCCACGGTCTCTCAGCTGCTCGGCCTCGAGGGAGACGACGTGCGCCTGGTGCTGCTCAACAGGCAGATCAACGTGCGCGGCAACATCACAGAGATCCCGCTCAAACCGCACGAGGTACGTGCGACAGACCAGTGACCACCGTGTGACCGGCCGGCCCCCGGGCGTAACCGAGCTTGTTATAGTCTGTTCCATATCAAGCTTGCAGTTGGAGTTTCTTCGGCAGATCAATCCTCCGCTCAAGAATTTGCGTCTTAACATGTAAGAGCTGTATATACAGAAATCACGCACTGCTTTCAGCAGGGCACTTCGGCTGCAAACTTGAAACGGAACAGAGTATAATTAAAGATGTTTTTGTAGCGAATTGAAATTATAATTGACACGCTTGTAGGTGTTTGAAAATATCCAATGAAATAATGTAGATGAAGTTCTGGTTTCGAAAAAAAAGCATTTAGCTCACAATAATGCCTACAGACTTTGTCACTAAAGCTGGGGAAGTGAAGAAAAAGAACCAACAATTCAGATGCCGGCCACAATTTCGCTAGCCCCTGCAGGCTGTTGAAAGCCTCTTCGGCCGTCCCGCGGTGGCGGTTCTTATCTCCGCAGTTCATTAGACTGAAGGCCGGCGCGGCGCAGGCTGCGCCATGTCTTCAGTCGCTATTTCTGTGCTGCTCCCGAAACATATGGTCCCGCTGGGTCGGTCCACATGTTTTTGCGCCGCTGGGATGCCGCCTTGCTTCTCATTTCCGTCAGCACAATATCCTCCATATTTTGTCAGTAAACCTCAGAATAGTGGTAGACTTTGTCGACAAACCTAGGGTGGCACCGGACACAACGCACGACCTGTGTGTCGCGAGGTGCGAGGACCAGTTGAGGAACAGATCCCGGTGTCACTAACAGAGTCTTAGCGGTGGTGTGCGAGCTCCGTCTCTGCAGACGGAACTAACCTGGTTACCAAGCGCTAAACCAACAGCCCGCCGGGCTAGTCCGAACGTAGTCACAACACGGGGACGACCGTAACAACACCCCGAGGCACGGTCTGCCCATTACTCTCTCAAAGCGACACAACAGAGTCGACTGTGGCCGGAAGCGAGGAGCACGCACGCCCCTCTGCTCAGGGGGTGTTTTGTGATTACCGAAGGCGGAGGGGTTGGCGTATCGCGGATGGTGCCAGCCGAGAGCAGCTGGATAGATTTAGATAAATGAAGTGTGGGGGTTTTCATGTTGTCGTGTGTCTGACGTAAATGATGTTGGTTGTCTCATATTGTTATTCCCTTCCGCGTGCATAGGTGCAATAAGGTCAAGCAAGATGGTATTGCTTTATTTTATTGTTCGACATGAAAACATTTCATGGCCTGCGTGAATTAGTTTGGTCTACCTTTGAATAAGTGAGCGTGAAACTAACTCTGAAAGCGATAGGAATATGAAATGAAGATGAAGTGGAAGTCTTTCATTTAAGGTCATTGAGGCAGGTAGCATAATCGTGATCATGGTGTGTGCCTGTCTATTGGTCAGCCCAGCCCACAAATATGTCTCTAGAACTGATCCCCTTGCACACCTTTCGGCTTGTACCCGTTGACTCGTTCACCGTGTCACCCCTTCACCCTGTGTGTGTGTTTCAGGCCCGCGAGAACCGGCACGCCATGACCAAGGCGCTCTACTCCCGGACATTTGCGTGGTGGTGAACCAGAAACACGTGCACAAACCCCGGCCAGGACAGCGGCGCCTTCCTCGGCGTGCTAGACATCTTCGGCTTCGAGAACTTCGGGAAGAACTCGTTCGAGCAGCTCTGCATCAATTACACCAACGAGAAGCTGCACACCTTCTCAACCACTACGTCTTCGCGCTGGAACAGGAAGCGGTAATTATCTCAGATATTAGATGTAACCATAGTCTTGTGTAGAGTAGTTTTTTTCAATAACTGTCGATAGCTTCTCCCGATACAAGTGGATTGGTGCCTGCGTGTCACTAGGTCTGCAAAATATTTGTTTCAAGAGCGTCCGAACGGATGCTGTAATGATTCGCCGTTTAATGTCTGGCAAAACATTGTGTTTGCCAGGCTTTCCATAGAATTCCGTGGCCTGCGTGCATAGTTGAGACAAACGTAAGAGCAGCGATATGAAGATTGAAGGGGCTTTTCGTGTTGTTCGTTACACAAAATGTGATGCGTGAGATCTTAGCAAGACATTCTGTAAAGTGTTGTCTACAGTGCCATCTTGTCTCGCACTGCACTCTCGGTTGAAGTCAAAACAACACTCGATGGGATCATGGGGCACCTGTAACAGCCTTCACGTAAAAGCGCATATCATTTCGGATAAGTTGCCGAGATGAATACGCTCTCTCTTTTGCATGTGATGTTGTTCTACTACAATGGTATCACGACTTTACTATATCCTATATTCCTACCCTATATTCCTATATTTTCCATATCCTATATCTATATTCCTACATTATAGCATGCAGCTTAAATCACATGCAGTATACTATCTTACAAGGGCTTTAGACATGGCCCGTCTGTATGTGTATCTTTTTTTCCACCGTTTTCACTTCGCTATACAGTATGTCAGATTAGACCCATTTATATTATGACACTTCACAGATCGTATATACATAGCGACCATCCGCTCAGCTGTGGGTGTCCTACACGCTTACGTCAGCGATTTGTATTCCATCAGACCACCGAAAATATCCAAACTGTCTCATATGATGGCAATCTCCTCATCGGTATCACACACCACCCTAGAGGTCCATGATTATTTCCCCTGACGGCAATATCCCCGGCCGTGTTAGCCCAAATGTCAGACCCATTCTGGCGTGGTATCTCGGAGGTCGATTCGCCCTCTCCTACAGTTATGTAAACTAACACAGCCGCCGGGAGCCCGGCGTCGGTCCCACAGGCTGCAAACGGACCGACGTCTGCTCATAGAGCTCGCACGAGATGGATGTCTATTTTTAACATGCTTGTTTGCGGGCCCTTTGAGCCGCCCTGGTATTGTTGCAAGGGATGTAGTGGTAGTTGAGTTCGATTGCTGGTGAGTCTTGGCCACCGTTGTTTATCGCTTAGTATGGAGAGGTATAGTGCAACATAGTTCTCACTTCTCAGTAGACATCGGTGTAAACGCTATGTTCCAAGACACATCTTTTGTTCAGTATCGGCAAGAGGAGATCCAGTCGCGCACATCAAGTTCTCAGACAACTCCGAGTGCCTGGAGCTGATAGAGAAGCCGCCTCGCTGCATTCTCAAAACTGCTCTCCGAGGAATGCCGAATGCCAAAGGTGAGTAAAACCCACATCAATTTGATGCTGCAGAATTATCCAATCTCCAACATCACCAACACAGCAGCCCACGCTCGCTCTCAACATTAATCCTCCGCCCGGAAACTGAATCTATGTAATACCTCCCGTAAAGCCATGTTCCGGGTTTCCGGATGCGCGTCTATTAGACGCTCCATTTATTTGAACACTGCGCAGTGCGTTCAATTTGACAGTAGCATCCCATCGGTCACTGTTGGCTCGCTCCGGCCGCCGACCGAGCTCAGTGACCTTTGACCTCTGAGCGCTCCGCTGCGCGCGGGGCTTCAGTCGGATGAGTGCAGATGCACCGGGCAGACGCACGGTAGCGGGACGTTATTGGGGTGGATGGTGATGCTTTTATAGGCGGCACATGCACATTGGGATTGTATCAAACACGGCTGAGGAAGATCAATGGCTGCGTTAGTGCCAAGCGACGATTGTTTGATTGGATGTGATGTTAGTACCTTCTAAATGTTTCGCACAATATGGCATTCGCAGGGCAACCATGGCTTCAGAAATGAACAATAACAGTCGTGAC